CTTAAGTATTTACATAGCGATAATTTTCCATGAGAAAATTGTTCGATAGTCTTTCTTGACAAATTGTTCTTGAACAGTCCTTGCCTAAAATTAGTTAGTACCCATACAATGCACCAGATATCAGGAACATGAACGGGTGGGTGGGTGGAAATTTTCTTTCTCGGTAACAAGACATTGCTCTTTGTTGGGATATTTGTCAAAGTGAACTCCCTTATCACATTGACCTTTGTTCTGAGTGTTCGTTGTTGACATATGATTGGTCAGTTGATCTTTCATTCGATTTTACACATGCCCAGAGAAACATTTGAACTTTGGACTATTGGATATCGCCTTTTTGTGGCTGTTGACAAGCTTATCCTATTACTATGAGATTATAACCAGGTTTGAAGGTGACAAACGTGTTGTCTCATTAACTTGAATTTATATATTGTCATATATAAATTTGCTTTAATTTAATTTAATAATTCAAGCACGTTAGGTGAAAGAACAGCCCGAAAATAAGCAAAACACACACCAAATCATTGTGGGAGAATGGGTTCAGGGTGAAGTGAACCAATTATATACATTATACTCTCAAACTCTGGTCAACCCAAAGACTCATTAAGCCTTATGTTTTCATCCCGCAGGCGTATATATAAGACCTGCTAGGAGAGACTGAATGCTCCATAGGAGCTCTGCACGAAGGGTAGCGACCCCCTCTGACATAGACCTGAACCAAGGGGTGATAATCCCCTTGGACAGTACCTACGATTCGACTGATTATATTTACATAAATAACCTGAGTCTATGGGCCTGAAGTTGACCATTGGAAACACTTCAACCCCACAAATACACAGCATGTGTATTCCCCATAGACGAACTCCCACCACAGCTGTATTTGTATACAAGACAGCTGCTGCCAGATGATAGTTAGACATATATTTGGGCGTTACCATCACTCATACTATAGCTGGATAGTCAGGGAGGCCAGAAAAAACCTGGAATATACAGGAAACCTGGATGGGGCCAAGACAACCAGCAGCTTCCCCACAAAGCTTCTATCTTACATTTTTTTAATTGGAGGGTTGGTAACACGACAAACAAAGCTCACTATCGAGGCACATTTTATTTATTTTTATTTATTTATTTATTTATTTATTTTTTTATAAAGTTAATGTGTTCAAAATACGTTTTGCACAATGATTTATTTGTTAACCACACTTATTTTATTTCAATTATGATCAGTGGAACTTTCTCGAATTATGTGACATTACTCTCAGAAAAATAGCTTATTCATTACTTTAATTCAAAATAGCAAGACCAAAATTTTGCGATCGAACATCCGATCATGCATGCATGATATTAGCAGAAAGAAATTGTAAGAATATGTATGTGGTAGTCAAAATAGATTATATGCAGTAAATAATGGTACATCAAAGGATTTTCAATTTTCAAAAGCGTAGGCATACATGGTATCGTACCAATCTTTCCTGATATCCATCTTGCCGATTTATCGCAAATGTGCATAAACATGTGTCATGTGCAGAGTTTTAAGTCTCAAATTTCGTTCACAAATGAGCTTGCTTTCTTAAGTTTTGAACAGTAAAGTATTGAAAATGTATGCAGGTCAAATTAATTTTGTGAAATAGCTAAAAAAGAAGTTTTATAATTCTACTTTTGAGCGATTGAATACAGTTTAATGTAAGGCCTGATTGAAACCCAATCCAACGCCAAATCTGAGGCGTAATCTGAAGCCTTTACTCTGCGGCTAACCTCAAGGTAGTAATAAAATTGTCATTGGAATTTTTGATCGACAAATATAAATACACCAGAATGTTGTTATAAAATAGACGAATTTTAATATATTTTGGTTGGTTTGAGATGCGGAATACGAAACAAACGTGTCTGACAGTCAATGCACCGCATACTTACGCGCCGAATACCGCTTCACTTTAGGAAGCATGTGCATTGAGAAATGGAATGGTATCAATTGAACGCTTGTTGATTTCGTGTTTAGCGGCTTTAGCCTATCGATCTTGTTGTTATTCCCCCAGCGGCGGTTTCATTTAATAGTAATAACTTCGTCGGGACTTGGGCCAACGTATTCCTTTGTCCACCAGAAGAGTAAAAGCGCTTGTCCGGTAGAGTTCTATTTGAATAAACTGCGTCTCACTGAATTATCATACTGAGTTACTGACCAAATTTTCTTTAATATAACCATGGTATGTCAATTCCAGCGTTCATAAACTCTTTTCTGTCACATTGTCTCAGTTCATTCGATGTCCGTAATTCTTTACAGCTCCGCACCAAGTCAAATTTTCAAATTTTCTTTCTCGGTAACAAGACATTGCTCTTTGTTGGGATATTTGTCAAAGTGAACTCCCTTATCACATTGACCTTTGTTCTGAGTGTTCGTTGTTGACATATGATTGGTCAGTTGATCTTTCATTCGGTTTTACACATGCCCAGAGAAACATTTGAACTTTGGACTATTGGATATCGCCTTTTTGTGGCTGTTGACAAGCTTATCCTGTTACTATGAGATTATAACTAGGTTTGAAGGTGACAAACGTGTTGACTCATTAACTTGAATTTATATATTGTTATATATAAATTTGCTCATGTACAGTATGGCCATTAATTGTACTGATAATAAACTATAAAGATCACAACCAAGCTGACCAAAGCAATCATTAAAGATTGTTGGTACAGCATATGGCTTTAACACTGGTCTCTGGCTGTAATCCTCCTCAAAGATATCGGCACTAAAATGCTTTGAACACAAACGACTATTTTTCATAGGAACAAACTTCACTCTGTCTGGCATAAGTTTGCTTATATTCTTCACCCATATGCTGTGCAATTCAGGGAATCTCTTCTCATCTGGAAAGCTTTGAAGTAAATGAACAATTGTTTTTAGTGTCTAGTTAATACACTGTTCAATACGATACCTAAAACTTACAATTATTATAAACAATGCCACACTAGACAACACATGGTTTAGTCCACAATAAAGACAATACAATGAGTGAAAGGCTTTGTACATTTAAAGCTAGTCGTATCTTTATCACATTGTTAAAATTCTCATTTGAATTTTTTTAACATTATAAAGCATTATCTGTTAGGATATCGATAAGATTTCATCACTGCATCACATCCATCAACTTGCATGAAAATAAATACTTGCTCAACAACAGCTCCACAAGCTTGTCAACATTTTAAAATTTTGTTCTGCTTTTGCACTGTAGTACACTAACATTGTATTGTATGTTGCTTGCCAATATAAAATTTCATGAATTCACAAATTTACGCATTCAATACAGCAATACAGCATTGCGTTAAATTATTAAAAAAAAAAAAGAGATTATACGAGCCTTACGCATGTGAGGACAGGTCCTTTCTTTCAGTAGATTTTTGGCAACCAGGAATTGAACAAAAAGTTGGCATGGTTGCAAATGTCTCGTTTCAATATAGAAATTTCCGACCGAAATTTTGAATTTACTTCCTTCTGTTTTAAGCAAATTGAAAGGGGGGTGTGAATAACTTTTTTCTTCACGTTAGCATTTTAGGTCAGTGGTTTTCACCATAAATTTAGGTCGATTGTGACGTCAAAATGACGTAAATTTGGCCAAAATCCGCCATGTTTTTGGCCACACATTTTTGACTGACGAGGTATTGGAGCACGATCTCCAGATATATTAAGTATAGCTCAGTGTTCAGAACGCCTAGCAGATTTCAGTATTTTTAATATGGCGGAAAATTTATATATACAAGTAACCTTTTAATTATAAATACGACAATGTTTGTTCATCATGTACATGTTCGATGTCTACATAACCAAATCAAACCGTATTAAAAATGTGCTCAACTAAAAAAATTATATACAAATTTACGATACCGAGTTTGAGCAATCGTTGATGTTATTTATGTACTCGCAAGTTGTGATCAACACCAAACCATACTGGTATACACAACTACGCGTTCTACTTGACAGGTTTAAATTGCTGAGGAAATTGGAAATATTTGCCTGACGTGACGGTGTTGTCAAAACATTCTTAGTTGGAGACTCGGCATAATTTTCAAGCTTCTAGATAGCATTTAATATGGCTATATATTTTAGTAAACACGAGTCATATTTAGCCCGTTATTCCATTCTGACCGTATGGCCGCGAAACGTAGCCTACTTCATTGTTCCGACAACATTAGAGCAAAACTAATGACTTAAAGACGGGTTACAGTCCGTGCTGCGCATGTGCGATTCTTTTTGTTTTGGTAGACTACTTATCTCTCGTTTCCATGGTTTCCAGTCCGATTGCGTAATATACGCGCGATTCTATATTTGATATTTGTGGTGTTACTCTGAGTGTATATTCACACCGGGCGAGCTTGAAAAATATGCCCGGCCACTGTGGGATTCGAACTTACGACCTTTGGAATACTAGCCCAATGCTCTTCCAACTGAGCTACGCGGTCAGGACGGTTCGAGTAAGTGATATTTCGGAACAGAATCTAGTTCCTTCGATAACATTGTATTCTAGTAATATGAATTTTTAGAATACAATTTTTAGAATACAATGTTATCGAAGGAACTAGATTCTGTTCCGAAATATCACTTACTCGAACCGTCCTGACCGCGTAGCTCAGTTGGAAGAGCATTGGGCTAGTATTCCAAAGGTCGTAAGTTCGAATCCCACCGTGGCCGGGCATATTTTTCAAGCTCGCCCGGTGTGAATATACACTCAGAGTAACACCACAAATATCATATTCACCTGAGTACACTACACCAAAACAGAAAAAAAAAGATTCTATATTTGTTGATACAAGGAGTGGGAATACACAGTTTCGAAGAGATTTTCAACGATTTGTGACTTTTATGAAGTGAAATCCGATTAATAACAAATCATTGAAACAATATGAGAAGAAGGAAAGAATATTACGCCAACAAGGATGCCTTTAAAGTGTGTTTATTTGAAATTCAGTCAAGCGCTTCGCCATGTCGAAGTTATACTGTCATATAAAGGTAAATATTTGTTTTATACATTTGATTATTTTGTTCTCAAGAGTCGAGACTGGATCTCTAATTCGCTGTGAATTTGTGACAATTTTTAAGCTAGGGCAATTTTATTAATTTACTGTCTGAGAAAAGATGGGATCTCCTCATCTCCGAGTTCTCTGAGAATATAATTCAACTTGTTCGAGACATGTATTGATGTATATTTGTAGTACTTCACCTCGGCTCAGTACTATAGCTTAATTCAGTCAAGGATAAAACTGATTTCATCTTTATATGGCGAGCTGTTATCAAAATGCTACTGGGATTGAGTTATTGGATGATTATTGTTTTGTAATTCATAAATCAGGCATCTCCAGATGAACTTTCTGGTAGCAGAATATATTGAATTTTTTTACATGACATGATTGAACATACTGAATACAATTTCTATTATGCTGTACTATAGGTTACCTTGAGCTCATGAAAACATTACAGATTGTACAACACTAACATCGAATAAACATGGTGATGAGTGTGGAGATGTGGTTATAACAACCATATAGCCTAGTGGTTAACCAATCAGAAACAAATTTAAAGAGAGGAATAAATATAGAAGAAACAATACATTTTATTATATTATATTGTAGTAAAGTATGAACATCTGATCATTAGTGTGGTATAAAGCAATATGCTATATATATTGAATTTTTTACAACAACTAGGTATAACAGTAATAACACTTTTGTCTGGGCGGCTAATTGATGCCGTGCAACAGATACTGCCAAGATGTGGTTCACACCAGCAACTTTCTACAAGATTTGTATTGTAACTATTGTTCACACTAGCAACTTTCTTCAGGACTGTGATCATGATGTTTTTCAAATAAATGTCACAACAGAAAATCTATCATGAGAAGAAATTTGCCAAGAAAATTGCTAGTGCGAGTAAGGGTTAATTGCAATGTTTAGAACATCTGACTCAAAACAATTTCTTGGAACAACAGTATTCTACATAATAACAATGTTATCTTGATCTAACAGAGCACATATTTTCTTCCTGTCGGCATGGGGAACACAATGTCTACAGTTGCAGCAGTCCAGATTTTGGTGGGTGTAGCCATAAATATGGTGGTGGTGATGTGCAAATTGTCCTCAATTTTTTCCATGAATGAGAACCTACAGTATCAATGTTTCCAACAAAAAAGATTTACATGGGGTTTATACCCTTTATAAAGATTACACTATGCATTTTTTGAAGGTTCACAAACAATCATGTCATGTCATTCAACATAGTACATTTTTGTCCAGTGCAGTAGTGATATTAATTTTAATATACAATCACACAAAAGTGCTATAAAATATACAACAATGATTGAATGTATGGCCAGCAGGACTGGGTCCCATGTGAAAACCAACATACAGTACAATCATGTCCGATGTAAACAAATCTATGCTGCTACCAAAAAGTTCATCTGGAGATGCCTGATTATGAATTACAAAACAATAATCATCCAATAACTCAATCCCAGTAGCATTTTGATAACAGCTCACCATATAAAGATGAAATCAGTTTTATCCTTGACTGAATCTAGTACTGAGCCCGAGGTGATTAAATTAGATTTCAAGTAATTTTAGTCTATACATGTTTTGAACAAGTTGAACTATAAAACTCAGAGATCCCATATTTTCTCAGACAGTAAATGAATAAAATTGCCCTAGCTTAAAAATTGTCACAAATTCACAGCGAATTAGAGATCCATTCTCGACTCAGCAGAACGAAATAATCAAATGTATAAACAAATATTTACCTTCATATGTACGACATGGCGAAGCGCTTGACTGAATTTCAAATAAACACACTTTAAAGGCATCCTTGTTGGCGTAATATTCTTTCCTTCTTCTCATATTGTTTCAATGATTTGTTATTAATCGGATTTCACTTCATAAAAGTCACAAATCGTTGAAAATCTCTTCGAAACTGTGTATTCCCACTCCTTGTATCAACAAATATAGAATCGCGAGTATATTACGCAATCGGACTGGAAACCATGGAAACGAGAGATAAGTAGTCTACCAAAACAAAAAGAATCGCACATGCGCAGCACGGACTGTAACCCGTCTTTAATTATAAATGCAAAGGAAATTTCCATAACATTTTCCATTTACAAAAGAGGTATGCTTGGTAACCAGGCCAGGGACCACTTTTTTTTAAATCAGGGACCATTTTACCGAAATCTGCTAGGCTCTCTCGCTGAAGCGTTCCTCACAGCACACCCAGGCATAAAAACTTTTAACACTTATTTAAATATATCAAAGCAGCGAATAGAGAGAGAGCCTGGGATGTTTCTCTAATTTGGCCTTTTGGGACCAAATACAATGTTGTCCTCTTCCAAATTAAAATTAAAATGATCCTGATTAGTCATGTTTAGAACTCATTAAACTATTTTTGCCTCATTATAGAAATATTAAACCATCATGGTTGCTGAAATTTTGCTCACGTTATGTCTTGCCTGGATCATTCGATATGTCATCGCTCGATATGTCATTGAGAGGTAACAGTAGCAGTAGCGCAAGTCAAATCT